GTTCTCTCTTACACACATTACATATTTGACAGAAATTAGGGAAGTTTTCTGTATGTGCATGACATGCACAAGAATGTGTAGAAGAGTGATTTCTTGTATCCTGACAGGTAGAAATAGGAAAGTGTAGGTTACTGGTTCACGTTTGGTGTTACTTTGGTTTTAAATACTCATCAATGAATTATTACGTTGAATTGTCACTGTGGGTGTGAAGAATTTCAGGCTAGCGGATATATGGGCTGCCAGCAGTGATTCAGAACATAGGGCACAAGTGTTGCATTTTCTATTTTCTATTCTGTTACCTATGCTGTTGTCCATGCATATGCCTGCCTTATCTTAAAAGGACATACCGTATTTTTTTCTCTATAAGACTCACTTTTTCCCTCCTAAAAAGTAAGGGGAAATGTGTGTGCGTCTTATGGAGCGAATGCAGGCTGCACAGCTATCCCAGAAGCCAGAACAGCAAGAGGGATTGCTGCTTTCACTGTGCAGCGAATGATTCCTCTTGCTGTTCTGGCTTCTGAGATTCAGAATATTTTTTTTCTTGTTCTCCTCCTCCAAAAACTAGGTGCGTCTTGTGGTCTGGTGCATCTTATACGGCGAAAAATACGGCAGTTATGGGGTGTTCAGGTAGTGTGTTAAGCTTACTAAAGTTGTTAACTAGGCTGGATAAATAAGGATGGCTTTGTGAAGACCTCCGGCTTATTTTTATGACATTAGTTGGTGGAGGAGAGAGAGTGGAATGGATCATATATTGGAGCTGGTGTTTACAGCCACATATTTCTATCTCACCGTCATTGGATTTAAAAATGGTCTCTTCAGAGCCACAGTAGAATTTGATGAGTCATTCAAGCAACCCAGAAGGCAGGATTCACACAGACGCTGCATACATATGAACTGAAATCAGCTGAATAAGGAAGGTGAAAGTAAATATCTGAATTTGGGATCCCATTATAGACTGGACAGAATTTCCCATATATGAAACATTGGTTTGTAACGAAAGAGATTTTGAAGATCTGTTCATGTATATTTTGGGTGTGTCAGGGAAATGAATGTTTCCATACACTCTAGGATATTTGAATGTCCAAAACGTACTATTGCAAGCATTAACAATCAACTACAGTTATGGCTAGTTCACAAAAACAGAAGTGTTAAACCTGTGTCTAAAGATAGCAGGTGAGTAATCACATGGTTGAATACATCCCTGTTCTTTACACACACACACACACACACACACACAGACACAATTTTTTTTGCCTTCCCCACAGAGGGTTGCCTGTTCTTTTCTGTCTTTTTGGCAGACTTGTTTCCTTAGGTCTTTATTGTTAAGCTATGTTTTTATTGCTACCAGCTTTTATCTGCTGTTTTATGTTTATGCGTTTGTTACCAGTTATTTTTGTTTTGTGTTCGTAGGTAAGCCCCTTGGAAACATTTTTATTGAAGGGTAGCACAGAAATTTTAAAATAAGGAGAAGCCTTACCAAAGGTTCTTTCTAATAAGCCACTTTTCTTTGTGAAGAGATTTTTTTAAAAAAAGATGGACGAGTAATAAACTGTTGTAACATGCTTTGGAACATGTCTCATGTGAGGAATTAAGAAGTATGTTCGAGCAATGTAAAGGAAAATGCTGTGTTTGTTAGAAGTCTAGAAGAACTTCTTGCCCTGTGCATATGCCACCCCAAAAGTATGTTTCAAAGCTGAATGCTTGGGGGGGGGGGAATAACACCAGGCAAGCATGTTTTCTCAAAATATGGCCCTGTTAAGAATGGCTGAGGTGTGATGAAACAAAAACAGACATCTTAATGGTATTTCGGGTTTCTGTATCTGGCCATAGATTGTCCTGGGGTAAATAATGTTAGTTAATGTTGGATTCTGGCTTGCCTTAGCAGTACCTGTAAGAGAATTGGGGCATGTGAATTATTCACTAATCAGCTTGCTGTTCATATTAAGTTTCTGCTGTGGCTTTGGGGCATTTTGCCAGACCATGGCATGATTGATTTCATTGGTTCCTTTGAGAATAGTATTTTGTGTGCCTTGAAAATGGGGGAAGGTAGCCTGCTGTTGGCCAGTTTGAGTGCAAGGACTACTTTTCTTTCCACCAATTGCTCTTAGCTCACATTTTTTGCAAATTCTTCTTAACACAAAGCGAGAATTCAGAGGGAGGGGTGTTGTGTTTGCTTTTAGGCTGTCTTAACATTCTCCTCCTTTAGATCCCAGTCTTCTCTGAACATCTAATAAAGTGATAGTCCATAATATCCAAGGTAACCTGGAAAAATGATTTTAGTTATTGGATAGTAGAAATGGAGGAGGGTGCCTTTCCCTTCCCAGAATACGACTTTTATTCCAGTTGCATCACAAGAGATACCTCCTTGTAAACTATTTGATTTTTAATTCTGCCTGCCTATTTGTGTATAATACTGGTGCAGTGATGATTAAGCTGCCATTTGACCACTATTACAAATGAAAAAGAGGGGAATCCTTATCGGAACAAACAATGGCAGATACTAATTTGAGACTTGGCTTGCTCTGCTGTCAAGTGCATCTATATTGGCTCAGCTCATAGAAGGGCAAAGCAATTGATTCAGGCCAGAGTTGACTGGCAAACAACTCAGTGAAATAGAGCATGCACAAACTTAGCAGTATGTATCTATTACTAACCACACCTCTAGCCTTTTCCTTCAATATGTGATGCAGTTGCACTGGAGCTCTTCCAAATTGTTTGCCACCATCATACGATCGGTTTCTGAAAGAGCACTCAAATCACAATAGTAGTCTATAACTACAAGACAGTTTAAGGGTCTCGGTATTAGGTAGTGCAGGTAAAATGTTGATGATTGTGTTTAGATTTTGCAGAACTCTTTATGCAGGAATGGGCTTGGAATAACTGCTGCCACTTGGATTCACATTAGTTAGGAATTTAATGACCAGCAGCTAGGAACATGTGTAGTCTAGTGAACTGACCAGTATTTGAAGCAGGGAGTTGTATTTCTTCCCAGTTTAAATACACTGAGTTGCCTTCTGTAATGTCTACATCACTTTGGCTGTAATTTAAGAAAAAGTCACCTAGAAGACTTGAAATATCTCCCTGCTTTATGAAAAAGAGTCTGACATCATTTGAGAGAGGGAGTTTGGTTGTTGTTTTTTGCTATTATGTTATATATTTTGTGTTTTTATGTTGTAAACCACCCTGTGATCTTCAGATGAAGGGTGGTATATAAATTTAATAAATAATAAAATAATAATTTAACACAGAATGGCTGATCCCATTTACCTTTTCAGCTTCTGCATTTCTAAAAGGCTTGTAAAATTTATTTGGGATTCCTAGGGCATGGGGCCTGCTAGAGAGAGTGGAAACTTCAAGTCATACCTAATGTGCAGTGGAATGGAATGGAATGAGACATGCTTGGAATATGACACCTATATTGTTAAAGTGTATTTGACCACTATCCATTTGTAAATATTTTGTGAATATTTTTGGAAGATAGATCAAACCTGAACTAAAAAAACAACAACAGTCTCAACCATAATCATTCGTTTCAAACAAAAACTTTAACTGTTTAACCAAATCTGAACCATTACTTGAAAGTTTTTGTTGAATCCATACTGAATGCCTAGCTACTGTTTAAAAATAAGGGTTGCTGTGAAAGCTATCTCCTTCTGAAATGCCCTTGCAATTGAATTATTGAATTAATTACTATTATTATTATTTTTAAAAATCTCCACCTACTTTTAAGGAGAACTCAAGGCATCTAACAAGTTAAAACACAAAAAGAGTATTTCAAATATAAAACAATCCCTGGTTAAACCCAATCATATAAATCTAAAACCAGAGTATTGATTTTGACAGCCAGCCATGCAACTTATTTTTAAGTACTGGGGCATGTGCAAATCAGTGTGGTTGTTTTCCTGTGTAAATGAGTCCAAACCTTACATGAATTGATTGGGGCTACTAACTTGGAACACCTTTGAGGTGTAAGTGCACCCAAATCACAACCGAGTGGAATAATTGAATGATTTGAGTCCCTTAAATACTAGTGAAAGTAAAATGTGTCATGCTTTGCAGGCAGAAGCTGTGAAGAAACAGAGAGGTCATTTCTGTGTGCAGAAAAGCTTGTGGTTACTTAACATGGGTGTTACTTCAATAAGAATGTGACTATTGTGTTTGCGATGATAATGTATTCAAAAGTACTATAGTAAGGTTTCATTCAAGCATGAGTGGGAGCACACACTTTGTGGATGGAGCACCATCAGAAATGGACTAGGAATAGAGTGAGCATTGCTCATAGCATTATTCAGCAACCTGTAAGAACCTTGATGCAGTGTGCCGATGTGTCCCTATGAGCTTATGAGAGAATCAGTGTGGAAGATTTATTTTTTTAAACTTCTAGTATTAAAAGAAATCATATATGTGTCAGTGACTGAATTAACATCTTAAGCTTCTAGTCTTATCAAAGAAGATTGCTTCCTCCATAAGAGGATTTCCCTATAAATCCTCACATACTTCAGCAGCTAAATCTGATTTCTGTAATGTTCAGAGCTATGTCTGGTTGTGATGTATTTTTTAAAACATATTTTCAAGGACACAGATGGAAGTGGAAGAAAGTACCAATTTGTCTCTGAAAACCCATGGAGAATTGGCAACATCCATTCTTGCTAAATTTCCCTGGTTGGTGACTTGGCAGTGAACTCACAAGTGTCAGTGGCTTTAACTGATGAAAATGGTCATTTTCTTTTGGGTGCATCTGACCCTGCCATTGATTAACCATGGAAGTATAGCAGAGAGTGAGATCCTAGTTGAGGTCATGACTGCTGTTGACAATCTAGTCTTCACCGCTGAGAACTTCCTTCTGTTTCATTTTGTCCCTTTGCCTTGATCATGTTGTCATATTTCCAACATAAAGAGGGGTATGAGATGCAATCTGAATACACATAGAATCAAAGAATTGTAGAGTTGGAAGGCACCATGAGGATCATCTAGTCCAACCCTCTGCGATGCAGGAATATTTTTGCCCAATGTGGGGCTCGAACCCATAGTCCCTGAGAATAAGAGTCTCATGCTCTACCAACTGAGCTACATGATTTGTATTTGGTTGGCTTCTTAGAGAATGAAGGTAATTTGCAGCATAAGGAAGATCAACAGATAGTGTATTGGAGAAGGGTTTTTTTTCTCCTACAATATGAGGAAGCAAGGTATTGTATATATCAGCCTTCGCCAACCTGGTGTTCTCTACATGTTTTGGACTACAACTTGCAGTGGCTGGCATGGCTGTGTTACCTGGGGCTGATGGAAGTTGTCCAGAACATCTGGAGCACACCTAGTTGGTGAAAACCGATATAGGCACAATATGGCATATGGTAACTGTGATTCAACCTCACAATCGGACAACTGTAATGTACTCTATGTGGTGCTTCCACTGGATTGAGTTTCAGCTGGCACAGAATGCTGTGCAGCCCCTGAATGCAGACTTATTACACCTATGCTGAGGGAACTACATTGGCTGCCAACCACTATTAGGCCATGTTCAAGGTCTTGTTAACTTATAAAGACTTGAATAGCTCGAGACCTGAAGAACCAGCTACCCTTATATAGACCTATAAAATCACAGATCATCTGGGAAAATTCTACTGCACTCTATGGTACTGCACTCTACAGAATATCCTCAGGTGGTAACTCCAAAACTGGCATTTTCCTCTATTGCCACTGCACTCCCCCCTCCGAATATTTTTTTAGAAGGCAAACTGCTAGGAATAAAAGAACTAATAAACACCTATTTTGTAAAGGTACAAGCCATCATATTGGTGGTCATGCCCATTGGTTATGGAATTGGGGGGTGGGAGAGTTTCTGGCAAAATTCAGGCAATGACACAACAACACATTGAGATTTGCATTTCTGGTAGCAACAAGGACTTGAAGTAAAGAACAAATTTGACATCCTTTGGTAGCAGTCCACCTAACAATTTCTCTAGTTTGGTGAGCCTAAAAGGAGACTACTAAGTTAGTCTTGGTGGAAAAAAATAACCCATACATTGAGAATGGCAGGAGGACAGAAGAAAGTGGACAAATTTGTGTTGATTTGGTATGACTTTATTAGTATGACTAGGGATTATTACAGGGCACAGTCATCTCAATATACTCTGATCTGAAACTCTTGAAAATATAATGCTCATCCTCCAGGTCCAGCAAAGAAACATGAATAAATTCTTGACTACCTGAAACAGAGAAATACATTTATGTCATTATAATATGATTACTCTAGTTATACATAAGCTTCTGCCCAATAGTGTAGGCTCCTTTTTTGTACCTTGTTTATTTATAGCTAAAATGGATAAAATAAATAAATTACTGATTTGCCTTGGCTGGCAGCTTCATCTTCCAGCAGGCTGAATAAGAGACTAAGGGGTAAACTCTGCTAGTGACTTGATGCTCACTAACAGAGAAGAACTGAGGGAAAGTCATTGTGGACCTTGGTTGGATGTTACCGTATTATCCTGGAATTCATGATGCTGAGGAAAGGCAAAGCTGAGCCTTTCAGACACACATAGGACTTTAGGAAAGCTGAATCCAACAAATTTTAAAAAATACTGCTGGATAGATAACTACATTCTGGAGCTTGAACTCTTCCCTTCTAGACTGAAGAACTGTGCTGTCTGTGTGAGTGGAAGAAACAAACAAGTTGAAAGAAAGTTCAGCTCTCTAGAGCTTTGAATCAAACTCTTGGCCATGCTTACAAAGAACTCTTAACAACCAATAAAGATTTAATGCTTGGGTGTTGCCCAGCATTTTGGTTGGCTGCTATTGCCATGATGCGTTCTGGCTGCTCCATTTGGGTGCAGTTTCTGCTGCAAATATCTCTAAATCTAATTTAAGAGTGTCTGTGTGCACATAAGCTAATGTGCACATGTGCATTTTATCCAAGAGACTAGTTTCCCCTCTCCAGTGAGCATGAAGTATTCCAAGATGAAGTACGCCACTGTGAACATGGAAGGCTTGCAAAGACCACAACAGTTACGTTTTTGATGTAGGGAAATATTGCTTATCTGGATTCCGTCTTGAGGTATGCGTGAACTTTTAATTTGCACCTTCTTTTTATCTCTAATAATAATTTTTGTAAGATGCTATAGTTCCCATGCTGTACTGATGCTCTTTTCACTAGAAGAAAGTGACCTAACTGCATACTGTATTGACATTTGCTTTTTCCTCTTATTTTATCATCTCACAACAGTCCTTCTGAACTGAGGGTCATCGAAAGTGACTCGAGCAGTACAGGGTGTGGTTTTCTTTCACAGACTCCTTTGTTTGGAAGTGCAAGGAAAGCTTTCCAGGAGGGAGTGGAGTAGGCCAGGCATAGTGGTTTTAAAAGAATTAGTGGCTTTTGGGAAGGGACTGAAAGCATTTTGGTTTTAACTGATTCCAGATGTTGCTGCTGGAACACAAAGCCTGCCAGTGTGTCTAGGGTGGCGCTTACTGAGTGGGCCTCCTGAGCGTTTCCTGTACGGCCCACAATCAAACAAACCTAATCAAAGCCAGCCGTTGCTGCTGGAACTCTCATGAAGCCTTTCTCCTTTTTCCGGTGTTCAAAGATATTCATTTCTTTAGGGTGTTTTACTCTAGTTCTTTACCATATTTTGGAGGGGGGGAGGTCTTCCCTTACTATAACCCATTGATAGGACTGCTATTTAGCCGAAAAGCACTGGTCGGTATTACAGTTAAAATTCAGTTTGTGCACATTGTACGGGAGAGGAATTAAGTCTGCAAAATGAAGCTGATAAGCATCTTAGATATTTTCCTGCCATATGGGAGCAGCTTCCATGTGGCTGAGGGAATGTTAAAATCAGGGCTGGCTAACTCCCCCCCCCTTTTTTTTTTTTGCCTGAAAGCTGCATTCATGGTTTACCAACCCTCCAGAGACTACATGCTCAAATGGCCAAAATTCTCATGCACATTTCACATGCACACAAGACACACACAGGCACAACCCCCCCCCCCACCAAGTTGATCCATTCAGAAGAGAGGAGTTAGCGCTCCTCTCTGCTCATAAGATGATCCATCAGATAACTTAGGCAGCATATGATTCTCATCCCAGTACTTTGTTTTTGTGTTCACCTTCAAAATTCATGGAGTCTTGGGGACCAGAAAAAAATACAGATGAAGCCCCAGAACTACAAGTTAGCCACTCTTAGTTGAAATTGTCTAACTGTAGGACCGGACCCAGCCATGTGGGTCTTCCTGTCACTTTCTTGACTCTGCATTGTCTACCACAGTGCAGTGTAGCTGCGAGAGCAATGCGCTGAGAATATTAGCGTTGACTCCAGAATTAGGAAGGCTTTGGCAAGTTATGTTCCGAGACGGCTTTTGTGCGGTCAGGTGGTTGTATTAGTGTTAGATCAAGAGAGCACTGTATGGCCTTGTTAGCAAATCCATGTAAATCGTAGTTAGGCTTAACTATGGTTTAAAGGTGAATACACAGCATACTGGTGTATGGGGAGAATATTGCAGTCACTTTGCTTCTTTGCCGCTCCTATGGCAGGCATAGGCAAACTCGGCCCTCCAGATGTTTTGGGACTACAACTCCCATGATCCCTAGCTAACAGGACCAGTGGTCAGGGATGATGGGAATTGTAGTCCCAAAATACCTGGAGGCCTGTCCTCCGGCTACTGTGCTGCTGGGAGCTCAGCCATGATTTGTCTTAATGAGATATCTGAAGCTGGGCTTGTGGTTTGTCACCCTCCAAATAGACTGTGAGTGGTAGGTCAAGAATAAACACTGTTTACTGCTCATGGTTTGTTTGGACCAATCATGAGCCTGGGTTTGGATGCAGCACTAAGCTAAACCAGGGCTCAGCTTCTGGTAGTGCTGCAGCAGCAAGCATGGGGGGGGGGACGGGACGATGATGAAGACAGAGTGGTTGCAATATTCTCCCCATGCACCAACACACTTCACATTCACATTAAAACCATAGTTAAGACGACTGGTGGTTTAATCAGTTAAATATTTTCTTCATTTGTGGGTCCTAATATGGAAAGAGAGTTGTGGAAAAAAGATATTAAAAATCAGAAAGTGTGCCACACGACTCATAGTAATTGTCGGGTGCAGATACGTAATCCATTAAGCAATTTAAACTTTTAGGTTGTGGGTAATTTTTGTGTGTGCCTGGTAACCTGCCAGTTGACAGTGTAAAGAAATGACAGAATGTCTGAAATGGAATAGCCATGTTTCAAGCCAGAAATCTATAGTATGGGCTACAGGCCATAAACTATCCCCCTTTCCCAATTTTTGTAGTATTTTCCCAGATGATAAAAATAAATAAATCTGGCTTTTCTGTTTATCTTATTGACCTCTCTTACTAGCTAGGTATGTCTGACATGTTTTGCCAAGGTAAACTGATCCAAATTACTGTAATGCTGATATGAGCAGAAAGCTAATTTTGCTCATCTCTTTGCTATCTCATTATAAAGAAAAAATCACAGACCTGGTACTCTAGTATGTAAATTGAAAATACATCTAGTTGTCTCTTACCATTTTAATCTGCTTTTTCTACCTTCTATATCCTTGGCCTCTTTTTAGCTACAGTCGATGCTTTATCCAGTACTTGAAAATCTTGAGATCAAGCTATTTCATTGTATTGCAGCTTGTATATGCAACTGTTGAATTTGTTTTAGCTTTTAGCATGAGGGGCATCCATATGATTGATTTGGAATCCTAAAACATGGTGTGGCCTGTCTTATAAAGAGAATTAACACAAATCCTTCTACTTTGGTATTGGATTGGGAATATATTGGTGTGTGGTGTGCACTATATTTTGCTTGAGTTTGGTTTTTTCCTAGGCTGGGAACACATCAGTTCTATACAACAGATGGAAGTTTAACCAGTATAGATACAGCTGCTCTAAAGAAGCATGTTTAAAATTGCCACTAAATGTGTGCTTTGTAGCAAAATACCTTATTTTCATGGCGATCTTCAGAAAAACTGGGAAGAAATGTCCAGGCTTCCTGAAGCTGGAGTGCGGGGGCAGGAGAAGTGTGTGTGAGAGTTCTCTCTGTATATTTATACAAAACCATGCTGAGAAATGGGTGTGGA